TGCTCCTCCTCCTCCTCCTCCTCCTCTTCTTCCGTTTCCTCCCCCTCCTCCTCCTCCTCCTCCTCCTCCTCCCTCTTCTTCCTCTTCTTCCTCCTCCTCCTCCTCCTCCTCCTCCTCCTCCTCCTCCTCCTCCTCCTCCTCCTAGTGTTATTATTACTGGTCTTATTATTCTTATTATGAAGATTATTAATATTAGTATTAGTAGTAGTAGTAGTAGTATTATTATTAATATTATTATTAGTATTAGTATTATGATTATTATTGTTAATATTATTATTATTAGTAGTATTATTAGTAGTAGTAGTATTATTACTACTGGTAGTACTACTATGATCTTATTCTTAGTATTCTTAGTATTCTTATTATTCTTAGTATTATTAGTATTATTATTACTATTACTATTACTATTACTATTACTATGATTACTATTAGTACTATGATTACTACTATAACTATTAGTACTATTAGTACTACTATTATTACTACTACTATTATTATTATTCGTTTTCTTATTATGCTTCTTCTTATTATCATTATTATTATTCTTATTCTGATGTCTCTCATTATTCTTCTTATTCTTCTCATTATTATTATTCTTCGTCTTCTCATTATTCTTATTACTATTAATAATATTATTACTAATACTGATAATAATTTGAATAATAATATTATTATCATCATCATTATTATTAGTAGTATCATTATTAGTGCTATCATTATTATTATTACTGTTATGATTATTCGTATTAGTATTATGATTCTTCTTTTTCCAAGTATTATCCTGTCCTTCTTATCAGTCTTATCATTACTAGTCATATTATTCGTAGTGTTGCTATTAGTATTAGTATTATTAGTAGTGGTATTATTATTAATACTATTAGTATGGCTGGTATTAGTAATACTAATTATAAGATTATTATTACTATTAGTATTAGTACCATGTGTATTAGTATGCGTATTATTCTTGTTTGTCGTATTATTATTGATATTATTCTTCGTACTATTCATATTAATTCTATTAATGGTATTATTAGTATTATGTGTATTATGATTACTCTTCTTTATTAGCCTTTATATTATTATTCTTTCTAATATTATTATCAATCTTATTATTATTTTCCTTACTATTCTTAGTATTACTATTATTATTCCTCCTCCTCCTCCTCCTCCTCCTCCCCCTCCTCCTCCTCCTCCCTCCTCTCCTCCTCCTCCTCCTCCTCCTCCTCCTCCTCCTCCTCCTCCTCCCCCTCCTCCTCTCCTCCTCCTCCTCCTCCTCCCCCTCCTCATCCCCATCCACTCTCCCCTCCCTCCCCCCCTCCCCCTCCTCCTCCTCCTCCTCCTCCTCTTTTTCCTCCTCCTCCTCCTCCTCCTCCTCCTCTCCTCCTCCTCCTCCCCCTCCTCCTCTCCTCCTCCTCCTCCTCCTCCTCCTCCTCCTCCTCCTCCTCCTGCTTTTCGTCCTCCTCCTCCTCCTCGTTTTCCTCCTCTTCCGCATGAGTTTCTGTTTTTTAGTAGCATGATTATTAGCATTCGTATTACCATTACTCTTATTATTCGTATGAGTAGCACTATGATTATGATTATTCATGTGCTTACTATTGCTATTATTCTTACAGGTATTATGAATCGTGTTATTAGTCTATGTTTGTTCGTATGAAGTTTGTATTATTATTCATTATAAGTAGCATTATTAGTATTATGATTCGTACGTTTCGCCTTCTTCATAGCACTGCCATCCTTACCAATCGTATTATAAATATCATGCTTCTTCGTAATATCCGGATTAGCCTTCTTATTATTAGTATTCGTAGTGCCATTAAGATTCGTATTCTTCGTATTCTTATAATTAGTATTAACAGTGCTACTAGTATTAATACTACTTGAAAATATTATTGATATCAATACTATGACTACTATTATTAATACGAAAGGAAGTAGTATTAGCATTCGTATTATTAGTGATGCTGTTATTACCATTTTTCTTATCAGTATTATTATAATCCGTGGTATCATTAGCATTGGCATTATTCTTCGTGTTCCTATTACTCGAAGTACTTTTGTCATAACACTATTACTCTTATGAATGTATGATGATGCAAAGTATTAGTATTCGTATTATTATTATGGTGAGTATGATTCGTAGTAGTATTGTAAATATGCTTCTTGGTACTCTTAGAAGTATTAGTAGTACTAGTCTTATTTCTTATGTGCATTAGTATTTCCCCCGTATTGTTATTTATTATTCGTCTCATCATTATTACTACTCTCATTAGTGATAACCTTAATCTTCTTATTACTAGTATTATTCATCCTCCTCCTCTTCCTCCTCCTCATCATCATATTCCTCCTCCTTTTCCTCCTCTTCCTCCTCCTCCTCCTCCTCCCCCTCCTCCTCCTCCTCTTCCTCCGCCTCCTCCTCCCCCTCCGCCTCCTCCTCCTCCGCCTCATCCTGCTGCTGTGGCGCGGTGGATCGACGGACATTGCAGAAGTGCCTTCGGCGGTGTTGCGGCGTCTCACAAAGATTTGGAAATGTTTCCGATGTCGGTCAAGATGCGCCCAAGGCGCCAATGCGGACTTGATATGCCCCTGAAAAGAACCGACATCGACATCCCACCAGCCCTGTGGGCGTGGGTGTTCTAGCGATGTCGGTTGTTTTTTTTTCGGGGGGGGGGGAAAAAAAAAAAAAAAAAAAAAAAAAAAAAAAAAAAAAAAACTTTTCCTGTCCTTCGGGGAGGAGTGCCCTCCCCCTCCCCTGCCTGAGGTTGTTTGGGGCGGGTCGCTCAATATGGTTCCGATGATCCATGATGGCCTCCAAGATCGCCAAACATAGCCGACGATGGCTCAAGATGGCCTCCAACATGCCTCCAAAAGGTCCCAAGACGGCCACAAAACGGCCGCAAGTGTTTGCGGAGCCCCCTCAGGAACCCCCCAAGGAGTCCAAAATCCCCCAACCTGAGGAGAATCAATGAGTGGCGCGCCTTCTCGCCGTTTCGCTTCCGACGCGCCGTTGCTGCCTAGAGGCCCCAAGAGAAGCCCAAGAGGCCCCCCAGGCGGCCCCGACAGCGCCCAATAGCGCCCCAGGAAAGCCCCAAGAGCGCCCCACGAGGCGAGTCCGATGGCCCCAGAGAGGGGGGGCCCTTGATCGACGGCCTCCACGATGGCCCCAAAAGGAAGAAGCCCCCAAGAGAGCCCCAAGACCACCCAAAGAGCCCCGAGAGGACCCCAATACCTCCCAAAGGAGCCCCACGAGGACTCCAAAAGGCGGCGTTGAGGGCTCTGCCCTCGTCCTCGCTGTCCTCCTCCTCTTCCTCCTCCTCCTCCTCCTCCTCCTCCTCCTCCTCCTCCTCATCCTCCTCCTCCTCGCCCTCCTCCTCCGCCCCCTCCTCCTCCTCGTCCTCGCCCTCATCCTCGGCGTTGCCCTCATCGCGTTCCGTTTCCGTGCCCCCCTCTCCCTCGTCGTCGCGGCCATCGCTCTCGTCGCGTTCCTTTTCCGTTTCCTCCACTCGGGTCTAAATGGGCTGGCGGGGATACTATCCGATCGCGACCGCGGCGAGAAGGTCGGGCGGCGTAAAGGCACGAAGCGCAGATGCATCGGCCCAAAATAGCGCACGGGAAAAGGGAGGCAGAAAAGAGGAAGAGGACGAACACGGAAGAAAGAAGACCAAGCGGGGGGGCAAACGAAAGGCGAGCCCCGCTGCCGCTCACGGGACGGCGCACACCTGGAAGAGCTTCCAGGCGAAGTGCAGCACCAAAATGGTGCGATTCGAGGGCAGCTCCGCGACCACGCGGACCTCCAGCGAGACGAGCAGCAGCGACCCCACGACGAGCCGCCGGACCGCGGAACGTAAGACAGCGAGGTCAACGCTGCGAGGGAGACCCCCAGCATGCAAGCGCTCAACAAACCAGATCCGGAGCGCTAGACATCGAAGGTGCCGCGGCTGTCATCAGGCGGGGACCGGCAGCCCCCGCCGCCAAGGTGGCGACAAGGTTCAGCCAGAGGACTGACAGAAAGCAGGTAGGGAAGTCGCAGGTGCCATCAGGCGTGGGCGAGCAGCCCGCGCCGCCAAGGTGGCGAGAGGGCCCAGACTGAGGACTGGATGGGGAAACACCGACACTCTGGCAGAGGGCGCAGCCAGAGGACTGACAAAGAGCAGGCGCGGCGGGGGAGGACCAGGCGCCCGCCGACCCCGCGCGGGGAGGGATGGAAGAGCGACGAAGGAGCCCCGAGCGCCTCACGACGGGCGGGGCGCAGGGGGGCGGCCCAGCACCGAAAGGCGAGGGGCCGCAAGGGGGCCCAGTGACGGAGAAGCACTGGGAGCCCAGACGAGCGCCGACAGCCCCAGCAGGGCGCGCGACGGGCGGCAGGCGGAAGGCGGGGCAGGCGACGGCCGAACCGACAGAGAGCGGCCAGGGAGAGACCCCCGCGGAAGGGGGAGGCCAGCAGACCAGCGCCCTGGGCCGAGGGGCCCCCCTGCGACCTCGCGCGCGGGGCCCGGCGGAATAGAGAGAAAGCGAGGTGAAGGCGACTAACGGTCGCAGGTCATAGAGATCGCGCCGCGCGAGGTACCGGTGGCGACGAGGAGCGACTAACGGTCGCAAATTGGGTAAGTGGCGGGAACTGACGGAGAACCGCCAGGGAGAATACCCCCCGGGGGGGTGCCCGGAGGCCAGCGCCGTGGGCCGAGGA